TATAATTTTATTAAAAATATTTTAATAAATTCATCGTATGAACTACATTTTTAATATAAAATCTGTCATGTAAAATATTTTTTCGTTAACTTATTTATTCATTAATTAAAGGTTAAGTCCCCTATTTGCATCTGCACATAAATTTTTTATGTGGTTAATACTTTTTCGTAATTTTTATTCATGGTCAACACCTTCCATAATTTGCAATTCATAAAAAAAAAACCCTCAAATTACTAACAAAATTAGGATGTAAATTATGAGTTTGACCATTAATTTTTATACCTTTTATAGATTTTAAATTATAAAAGATATTGACTAAGAGAAAAAATCTTAAGAGTATTGATTGTAAAAAAAAATATGTATGATACAAATAGAGGATTAGCTTTAATTAAAAATTTGTGGAAAATTAATATTTTAGAAAAATCAAGATTTCTTTCTTCGTTTCTCTGAGGATACTAGGAAAGTACACTGGGTCAACTGGGAGAAGGTCTATAAGGGTAGACATGAGAGAGGGCTAGGAGTTAAGAGTATTAGGACATTCAATCTTTCTTTGCTCAGCAAATGGTGGGGAAAGCTCGCAAAAAGGGAGGCAAGGCTGTGAAGTAGGCTAATTAAGGAAAAATATGGTATTGGGAATGATAGTTGGATGTCATGGGTTAAGGATGGTAGAGGGGAGGGCTCTAGTTGGTGGAAGGACGTTTGTAGGATAGATGTATTGGGAGACAATAGAAATGGGTGGTTATCAAATGGTTTTGAGATTATAGTAGGAGATGGAGAAGAAGTAAGTTTCTGGTGGGACTCATGGTGTAAGGAGGGGGTCCTAGCTCACAAATTTCCAAGGCTTTATATGCTTCTGCAGGTATGGACTACAAAATAAAGCAAATGGGAGTTTGGATCGAGGACAAATGGAGATGGAAGTTACCATGGAGGCGTTTGCTGCTGGACAGAGAATCCCAAGCAATAGAGGAATTAGAGAAGGTGTTGGAATCAACTAAATTACATCAAGGATGAAAGGATAAGTGGGATTGGAAATTTAGCATGGACGGTAGCTACACAACAAGAACAGGGTATTCCAATCTTACTGCCACACAAGTGAAGAGCCATAAACATGTCTTTGGAAGAGTTTGGAATCCAAATGCCCCTACAAAGGTGTGTGGTTTTAGTTGGCAACTTCTTTTAAATAGAGTACCTACTAAAACCAATTTATTCAACAGAGGCATCATCAAGGATCTGGCAGAAGTCATGTGCTGCCTGTGCCAGGAACATATGGAAGATTGCGATCATCTATTTCTCACTTGTAAAGTCACTGCCGAAATCTGGAATAGATGCTTGAACTGGTGGGGTGTTTAAACTGTGTTGGCTAGTAATGTTTGGGATGTCTTCATTAATCATGAGGGTATTGCGGTGACCAACCGAATGAGGATCGGTTGGGAAGTGGTGTGGTTTGCCTTGGTATGGACTATATGGCTTACTCGAAATGAGATCTTGTTTAACAATAAAATGGTGGACACAAACAGGTTATTTGATTTAGTCCAAGTAAGGTCCTTTCACTGGTTGACAAACAGAGGGAAGGTTTTAAGGTACGGTTTCTCAGATTGGCTCCTCAATCCCCATCTATGTAATGTTAGTGCTTAAGTGCATAGGTACATAGGCACTTTAAATGTTATGTAAATGGGTTAGAGTACCCCTTGTACTCAAAATAAAAGTATTTTTTGCCTTTCAAAAAAAAAAAATCCCGTGTAAGCAAACATTCTACTATTCTTTTTGCTAGGGTTTGGCTATGGGAGGTTTTATATCTGGCAGTTGTTCATGTTTTTTGTGGCTGTTTCCTTTTGGTGTTGGTTTCTCCCTTTCCACTAGACATAACTATGGTGGTTGGAAGAAGGGTTGAGAAAACTATGGGTTTTGATCCTTGGCAAGTTGAGAAAATGAAGTGGCAGAGGAGAACTAGATAATGTTGGTTGGTGTGTAGTGGTGGCTGAATGGGGTAGAGTGCTTGGCTAGCTAGAGTGCCTAGGAAGATGAGGCAAGCGATCTGTGGCTGGAGAGAGAGAAAGAGAGAGGCAGAAAGGCAATGGACATGGCAAAATTTGGCGAAGCTAGGCACGAAGGCTAAAAGTGAATGGCCCGTGGTTTATAATGGCAGCGTGAAGGATTGTAACAACAGATTTTGGTTTGGTTTGGTTGGCTTGGAGGGAGGGCGATGGCTAGCGAATGTTCTAATCTTTCGGCAGTGAGGAAGCTTGGATGATGGCTACTTGTGCAAGGATATGGTTTGAATTCTTCGGTATTTGATTTGGTTGAAGTTGAAATCGTGTACAATTAATATAATCTTAAAAATCAGTTATTGTTTAATTTGAATGTAAATTGGATTCCATTTCCTTTTATGATAACTAATTTAGTTATTTTATTTTGATTTTTATATTAAATTTGATCATATAATTTTATATAATAAAAAATAATAATTAAATTTATTTTTTATATAATACTTGTTAAGTATTTTTATTTTAATAAAAAATTTTAATTATTATTCATTTATTATATAAAATTATCATATCAAAATCAAACTAAAATAATTAAATTTAGAATTTTTTTAACGTATATTTTAAAAATATAAGTTAAGAGTATTTTTTTTATAATAAATTTATATAAAAAATGTAAAAGTAAATATTAATTTTAAAATCAATATTATGTAAATATATTTAATTAAACAGTTAATAAATTAAATATTATTTTTTATTTTTTTAAAACTCTTAACCTATGTTATTAAATACAGATTAGAAAAACTCTTAAATTTAACATAAGGTAAGTTACACAAGAATAATATATTTTTATACAACTATATCCTTTTTTACGTCTATCTAAATTGATTAACAAGTTAAGAATTTAAATTCCATTTCCTCTTATGGCGGCTAGGGTTCTATCCTTTTTTTTTTCTTCGATAATAATCCATCTAATTTTTTTAAATGTAATCCGTGTTTCGGAGCCCGTGGATTCCGCCCGCAAAGCATAATACTGCGCGTGATTCCACGCCCAATTGTCGAATATTCCCAACTGCGCCTTTCCACTTTGACCTCAAAATATCTGACTGACATTGGCTGAAGATATTATCGCCCTCGCTGACGTGGCACATGACACGTGTAAAAGTCAAGGCAAACAGCACACCGCCTCTTTTCTCCTCTTATTTTATCGGGAAAATTTCTTTCAGCCAAACATTATCGTATGTAATAATTTATTAAATTTTACATTATAATTAAAAATTTGGATGCACTTGGCCTTGAGACCTAATGGCATTAGTTATTGGTGCATTCTTTCGGGTAGGGTTTGATATTCGCTGCTTATAAAATATGTTCAAAAAAAAA